CCCCCCCCCCCCTCAAAGGACCAACTTGCAGCAGACATGTATAACTTTGTATCCAAAGAAGGCGAGTATGCAAGATACTTTGTCACGGTGAGTGTCCTCTTCTTTGATCAGATTTGGCACTTGTGGAAAACCACTTCATTTTGAAAGATGACATTTCATGTGCTAAACCTTCTAGTTGTATGTGTGTTCCTCAGAAGCTAACCCTGTTTTTGTTTTTTTTTTTGAAATGTGGGTTTTGTTCTCAGTTATTAGAAGCACAAGCAGATTACCATAGAAAATCATTAGCAGTCTTAGACAAGGTCCTCCCTGAAATTCAAGCCCATCAAGGTAAAGTAACCTGTGCTCTGGCTGACGCTTCTCCTTGCCTGTGCCACCTCTGACCTATATTCTTCTCCTTTCTGGACTCTTGCATGCAGAGCCTGTTTAAAAGGCCATTTTAATCTCTTAACAACGTTACATCCCCCAAAATCCTTCCATCTTTGGCTGCTGCATTCTCTGGAGCTCCTCCAGCCCTATATTAACACACTAATGTAACATTAAGGGTCTGTCTGTCTGTCTGAGAGAAAGCAAGGGAAGACTTCTGTAATTGGTTGCGCTGATGTGTTCCCTCTCTCTTAACTGGACATAGTGGGAACCTTTCAGTAACCCTTCCCTGGCACACATGCCCCAAAGGGGACTCCTTCATGAGCAAGAAACAAAGTAGGATCCTAAAGGACCAGCATTATGGGATTTGAATTCCAAGGACCTCCCCCAAACTTTGCAAAGCTGATTATGCTCCCCCACAAAAGCATCCCTTCTCCACATGTTCATATTGTACTGCAGCTACTTCTTGGCTACTGAGCTCTGGCTTATTTGAAGCGTTCAGGACTGCAGTGCTGACCTCCCTCACCCATGAGGGTACAAGTGAATAAGAATTCTTTATCTCTTCTCGGTGCTATCAAGCTATACATTAGTCAAGTTGAGCTTAGGCTTGGACCTTGCCCTTGGCTTACCGTATGGCGTGGAGATGCACTGTGTGCTGTCGCACATAGAAACCTGGAGCAGAAGCTGCCATCCTAAACATTGTTCGTATCAGCATGGTGCTCACTATGAGCACTGAAGTCGCAAATACTAAAGGACTGTATTGAACAAAATCTGAGACAAGGGTATCATCTGAACCATGTGTGCTGATAGTTCAGCAGAGTGTTTTGGGCTGTGGATCGAATGGAAGGTCTTAATGCCCCCAAAACAAGGAAATGCTGAGAACTGCTGGAAGCATGGCATGTAATATCTGCTCTTCAGTGCCCCTAATGGAAGGTACTGTTTAGCAGAGTAGTGAAACCAGTAGTTTCATGGTGGAACATTATGGACTAGTGAGCTCAATTCTCTACTTGAGGGAAGTAGATCTGATTGTATTGGATTGCTTCCTCACTGATTAATTAGCTAGTGTGTACAGCACTTGAGAAGCCAAGTACTGCACAAGTGCTAGGTATTACATGAGCACTTGGAAACCATGCTGGGAAGCAGTGTGGTTCAGGAGATAAGAGCTGGGGCTGGGAGAAAATGCCTTTGCTTCTGTCCTAGCTCAGCTCTTAGTTGCTGTAACTTTGAATGAGTCACTTAAAGCTGTCTGCACTTCCCTTCTGCTGCTGCTTGCTAAACTGGGGATGATAAATGCTTATTTGCCTCTTTGAAGTGCTGGGCAATCTATGAATGAAAAGCGCTAAAACCCAAGCAGTGGTGATGCAGTTCATACATATGGCATGTGTAGCCTGCTGGTATCTTACAAAACATGGTGTGTCAGGCTTTTTTCCTTCCCCTGTAAAAGAAATGGTGCTTGGATACTAACAGTCATGTAATGCTTTCACATCTTCATTTGTCAATTGTGACAGCCCAAAAGTACTGGGGGAAATAAGCTAATTCTAGGGGGCAAGGAAAGTCAGCCTTCTGTGAGGAAGATCTTTTGTCAAAATTTTTCTTAAAAAAATGCAACCAGGAGTAAAATTTTAAAGCTGCTTTGAATGCTTTTTGGAAACAGATGGATGGGGTTTAGTACTGGAACAGTGACAGACCCTTAAATATGGTGATTGTATTAGAGATACTGGGGCTACTAACATACATGACTCTTGCCATCAATAGTAGGCTTTGCATTTGGCCTAACGTGCACTATGCCAGCTGCAGGTACAATCCTGTTACAGGCAGCCCAGCCAAGCAATAAGAAATTCTCCTGAGCAAAAACAAAAATACTTTTTTTTTTTTTAAGGGCCAAAAATCTATGCATCTGAATTATAGTAAATCAGAATTAATTTCAACTGAAAACCAAACACAAGTTAGTACATTTACCTGGTGGATATAACATCTTCCAGCTACACAAGAATAATTAATTAGATAAGCCGCCCAGAGAGAGGTGGACAAGAGGGTTTACTGTCTTGCTCACACCTGCAAGCTTTTCTCTTTTCTCATGACCAAAGAGACTGCAAATCAAAGGCTGCAATACTTGTAATTAAATTCTTGTGGTCACACTTGATTTTCTTCTAAACCTCTTTGGAACATAGTTCAAGTTGTTCCCTTCACCATGTTGCTCAGTGTTTTGCTACTCTCTAACTAGACAAATGGACAGAAAAACCAGCCTTTGGAACACCCCTGGAGGAGCATCTCAAACGCAGCAGTCGTGAAATTGCACTCCCTATTGAGGCTTGTGTTATGATGCTCTTGGAAACGGGAATGAAAGAAGAGGTAGGAACTTCTGCAAACTGGACAGTAAACTTTTTCTCTTGTGTAAAAGGTCTTAAGAAGAGGCAAAGCCCAGTCAGTGTAACTGTTGAGGAAGGGGATAGCATCCGTGTAAGTAAGCCTGCATGGCACAAAAATGCAAGGGTGTTTCATCCCCTTGTGTAAATTAGCCTTTCCTGACAGGAAAACCCACCCGTCCCCACAACTTCAAATGTATTCGGGAACCAAATGGGACTAACTTGAATGTGAAAATGCAGAGATGGGGACAGTGGAGGGGAAGGTGTTGTGTGGTTATTGAACCAGCATTGGCATGTCAAAGCTAACTTTACTTTGCGGACGCAAAAAAGACATGAATCTTGTAACTGTTGTGAGAAGGACGGTTGTCACTGCATTGTTGTAACCATGAAGGATGCTGGTTTTAATGACAGTATGTCAGCTGTCAGTCATGGGAACTGACCTTTGCTCTCATGATGTAGGGCTTATTCAGGATTGCTGCCGGAGCCTCCAAACTGAAGAAGCTGAAAGCTGCATTGGACTGTTCCACTTCCCAGCTTGATGAATTCTATTCAGACCCTCATGCTGTAGCAGGTAGCATGACCATTTTGAATCGTATCCCTTATGCCTTTCATTTGTCATTGGCATGTTACAATATTAAGACATTTTTGTAGATAAAAACTGTAAATGCAGGTAGTATGAACCCTCCAGCCCAGTGCACCAGTGTTGCAGAGATCAAGTGTAGGGCACGCATACCAGGCACATGTGGAAGAATGTTTATTTCTGTAAGGCCTAAGTAGTATTCAAAATTCAGGTGGCCGCATTCATACCAGTGTCACGTTTCTTCTCATGACAGAGGTCTGAGTCCAGTTTCAGTCCATAGAGTCATTCTGAAATTCTAAAGAACTTGGTGGTGCTGATTACTGTAGTAACCCGGAGGCCCCATTGCTGCGTTCTGGACAGATGCACTGTTGAAATGTGTCCCTGAACAGACTTCAGCAGGGCTTCGCAACAGTGTAAGGGTCTGGCCGCAAGACTGAGGCCAGTGTTTCAAATGGCTGAGATGCCTGTTCTCCTGGTCTGTTTGCAGGTGCCTTGAAGTCCTACTTACGAGAGTTACCGGAACCCTTAATGACCTACAGCCTCTATGAGGAGTGGACGCAAGTTGCAAAGTAAGAGTGCTGGAAACACAGATGTGAGCAATGCGTGCATGAATGGGGCTTTTCTCACTTCCCCTCAAACGCAAAGAAAACTTTCCACACTTACACAGTTGCCCCATCCTCATTCCATTCTGGCAGGCGATGGCGTGCTAAAGGAGTGTACTGCTTTGGTTGTAACTGCACTGAAATGTTTGTTTTACTTGAAGTAGCTTTATACTCCAATGTGTGTAAAGGGTATTGCTTATTACAGTTAATTAATGGATTTACAAAGCAGTTGATTAAATTTAATGCGCAAACAGTGGGCTAATTATGCATAAATGAAAACCATAAGGCCTGCACTCTTTGGTCGCAAATAGAATTCCTTCTGCAGGTCTAAAAGTCTGGTCTAAAGAAAGGCTCTATCCTCCCCACAGTGTACAAGACCAGGACAAGAAGCTGCAAGACTTATGGAGAATCTGTCAAAGATTGCCCAAGCATAACCTGGCAAATTTCAGGTACATCAACGATTGCTACAGTTCTTAGGACTGTAGTTTCAATAGCAGAAAACAGCCGCTTGCGAAGGTTTGACTTGTCATGGTTTCTAGTTGGATTTATTTTTATTTTTTACTTGGGTAAGTTCCATGTAAGCTTTTGAAAGGACATCCTGTTTGATTAAAGAGTTGGAGAGTGTGGATGTTGGCTGTTGAATTGAATAGTGCATTGCATGTGGCAGTTCCTTATGCCCTAATAGCAC